TTCCGTCCAGCTCAAATTACTCCAAAGCTGAGGTTCTCGCAGAAGGCTCACTTTCCTGTTTTTGCATTCTGCCGATCAACTGTTTAGCTACTGTCAACGAACGTGTCACTTCATGAGGCCCCCCTCGAACCTGGTATATCAGCAAACTGGCAAGTATTCTTTGTTTCAAGTCGATCAAATGTCTGCGCAGTTACCATTTGATGAACAGATGGTGCTACAAGTATGTACTGGGTCTTTTTCCGTATAACCACATTGGGAGTACCGACAATTCCCCTGCTGCTCATTGAAGCTTCAAGACATGCATTGATATGTGGCTAGTGCCCACTAGTGGCAATAACTTTACAGTCCGTAGCTGAAAACAGGCAATGTGCCACGGTGGCAAAGCATTCTGTGGCTGCACTGCCGATCCTGCGGCGTCGGCGAGTCCGTATCGAATTCCCACCTCACTTACTGCCCACTTTCCTCCGCTGGGTGAGGCTGTATTCGTGCACTTTGGATGTGGGTGAGAAGGGAGGTTTCCATCGATCTGGAATGGGATGCTAAGAACCGGATCTGGAACCCACGACATCATGCAACTAAAAGATGGATAGCCCGTGATGTTAGCAATATCTTCAATCTACCTGCAAGTACTAGGTGCCGACCATGTTGAAGCCATCCCACTTGCAACTTTCTCGTCCGCTCTCTTGACGGCCTCAAATCGAACTCAGGTCATCGTGGGAGATGTCAGGGATTCGATAATTGTCCTTCAATTCACTTCATTCGGTTGGCGGCAAGCTGGTCCGTTCTGCTGGCCATGTTACATGGCTAGATAAGCATAAACAGGATCCTGCCTTTTGTTAGCGTCACCCCCTCCGTCATTTTCCTGGGATCCAATGAAAAAGGTGGTTGTTGTAGTAGTGGATACGGCGAACGTGCTGGCGCATACCTTACGCTCATGAATTCCTGGAATTGCTGAGGAGTCATGCACCGGTAGCCATCCCTGGGGGACCAATCGCCTTGCATATTATGAGACCGAAACTGCGCTCGGTTGTGTAGATAAGCCTCACTGGCAATGTTTGCCTGCAGTATTGTAATCGTTATTGTCTTCAGCCACACTTTAAGCTCCAAGTCACGGAGATACTACTCAGCTGCATGGTGTAGAGAAGTGTTATGAGTGCTATCACACACACCCTCGTATTGTCGTACATTGACGGAGTACGTCTTCTCCGGGTGTCAAATACGAAGTGTCATGTGATTAGAGATCAGAGGAGAGTAATCGAGACAAAAAAAGCCTTGATTGATCGATTAATTACTCATAAGAAACACAGTCCACGTCGACTGAACCACACCAAGCGGTGGCCCACAAAGCAATACGTTGAGAGTTGAAGGCTTCATATCGGGGCTGTAGATACCGCAAGGTATCTGTTAGGCCGCGAGAAAGGGATCGGACATGATCGGCAGCTTAGTACTCATATAACCATCTGCTCAGTCGCAAGGCGTGAATGAGTGGCTAAATGATTGTCAAGTTGAATTCACTTGTGCAATACTCACCGCTGTCTTGAGCTTGGTCATCATGTTTGCCTGGTCTTCTTTGCGGACGTACCGATATACTCATACTCGTACGTTGAGGATCATTTCGACATATTCAAAAACAAAGACCCACAAATCGAGGTACATGTTTTCTGCACGGCGTATGGATAAGTAGAGTACTAACCTTGAATTTCCGCGAAGTCAGATAGGAGAACTTATCCGGAGCATGATACTGGGCTGGTTAGCAACGATGAAGAAGATTATTCTCTTGTGGCTTGTTAGATGGCGCGACAATTATTTTCCCCGATGCAATGGCGTTTTCAAGATTCAGATCTCCGCAACACAGGGTGGCGAAAAAAAAAAGAGAAAAAGAATCCCAAGCACCACAGGGGTTGCACCCGCGCATGCAGAGTAATTCAGTGCAGAAAAGGTATGGAGAAAGGTCTACGTATGATTTCTCATGCGCAATTGGAAAGGTGGTCCTTGGTAGCGGTATTGTAACTAGCGGCGGCTGGGTGAGTGGTGGGGGGAAGCTTAGCTCCCTTACTTTACCATGTGTTACCATGTTGTCCGCCCTGTTTAGGGGGATGGTTTCTTTCCCTACAACTCTCCGGGGGTTCATCTCCTGCTGTTCGGCATTTTCAATATCGCTGTATGTTGTCAAAGGTTAGTCATGCTACCAACAAAAAAGACTACTACAGCCATGTTCGATTTCCCATACTTGAAAGCTCATCTTCAAGTAGTACCTAACTAAAAGGCTGTATTTGACCCCAGCAATTTCGACTTAGATACTTACAGCTGACGGGGGATAGCATGCTCAAGCATGATAGCGACAGTGTTCTTAGATTGCTTGCTGTGCTTGAACATACGAACTGCTTACAGAAGGAGGGAGGGATACCTTACTGTATGTACCCCGCCGAATACCAAATCTGGGCGCTAGCATGCATTAACACGGCAAAATAAATACGTAGGGACCTTAGGATTTCTTTTCAGCCCCATCAATATTGCCTTCTTTCACATTCAGCTTACCATTTCGATAAAGATCCTTCGCAATGGACCACGTTCTAGAGTAGTTCAATGAAGGGGAAGGGGCTAGACGAGGCCGTCGGACTATAGGCAGTAGGTATGTCACTGCCCACTACTAGCAAGGAAGACTATAGAAACGCCACTTGGGCCGCATCCCTTGGTTGTAGGATTGATACATACTAACTTATAGATTATTGGAATTGGACTGAAACACCGCGTTTCCTCATTTCATGTTGTAGGCATGGGAAACACGCGATTGACAAATCTGACAGGAGGAATCAAGAACAATCTGTCAAATAATCTTAAATTATTGCCCCTTGATTTGACCATATTTGTTTTTCTCGACCTGGAAAGCTGGAACCTGCTGTTTTCAAGGTTGTTAACTGGGGATGTGCCGTTACCGAATAAGGTACTGACTGTACTTTAATTTACTGACGGCGTATTCCAAGTTGCCCAAAACTGTGCCCCGAGCGATAATGACACCTTAATATTGCCCTGATGGATAAGATGTTTGAGGCTGTCACATCTCTTCACTCACGCTGGTTCTTGGATTCTAATCAAAGACTCGAATTCCCTGAAATCCATGATACGGACTCGATATTTCTCTGGCTCCTCCGTTCTGTCGGTTCGATCTGCATGCGACAATGAGAATTTACAGTTACACTTCCAGCCCTTGTAATGATAATTACGTACGTTCGGGATTTTTCACCCAGCTTCCTTCATGAGTATCACATATGTACTGGATAGAGTTCTATAAACACCAATCAATGCGACAAGGAGAGCAATGAACGTGGGAGACAGAGGTCATATTGCAACAGAAACAAGAATTTGTGGGCTCAGCCAATGCTGCATCTATCGTCTTTACTCCAGGCAGGGGGCTAAGGTGTGCAGGCCGAAATTTCGGATGTAGGCTTCAAGATAGGTATGAGAATTTCTCTTCCTTGGTGAGCAAGTCGCCATGCCGTCCGCGGTTACTAAAAGGGACTAGAATAAAACATAAATGTACAGGTATGTAGATGCACGGATGTGTTTGATCTGGGTTCTATCCCAATCTGCATTGTTTCGGGATCCACAGGCAGGAAAAGGACACGCGATGACCATCACCTTTTCTGCCATCCGCTAGAGGCTTAAAGGCTAGAGGCACGGAGGGACTACCCAGAATCCACCTAAGGGCCGCTCTGAACCACTCGATCTGTACCTGATTCTAATGTTCAGGTTCCTTGGGATTCCATCTCCAGTCACTGTGGACAGTATTTCTTCATTGGCACCAAAGTAGAAGGGGCGGGGGGAGGGGGGGTGGCAATCAGAAAACTTAAAAAAAAAAAAAATTCCAAAGAATGGAGACCCGTCAATATCCGCAGTCGATACTATCATTGAGAATCTGACTGCTGATGAGAATCAGTTTTGATCATGGATCGATGGGGGCTGTTCCTTCCAAGTTTACCCTAAGATCTCCTAATCTGAAAGAGCAGGTACTGTCAGGTTAAGGACCTTAAGGTAGTGCTGCTTGATACCCGCCACACTACTGATACTTAACTTAGTGTGGCTTAGAGTAGTTAGCTAATACTAATATTGTTTTCAGGCACCTCGATTGAACAAGTTACTACTAAAGGGGTTTCTATCTATCAATTCGATTTTGTTGCGACCCAATGCTATTGGCGAATTGTCACGAAGCGTGCAAAGACCATCAGACACCAATTAAACAACTGTGACTGGAGGCATTTCAATGAAACACTATATAGCACTCAGTAAACACAATATACCCCTTGGGTTCGAACCGTATATTTTGTATGTACATACTAAGAGTCGCTTTATCCAACATGATAATATCGTATGTACCTTTCCCTTATTTTGACAGATGATAAGATGCAAAAAGGGAAATAGAAAGAGTAGAGGGAATAAAAAAACAAACGAAAAGAAGAAGGTAAAAAATAGCGACAGAAAAAAGAAAATCCTTCAATAAAAAGAAAAGGCCCCGTCCCAAACAAAAACGAAACAAAACGAACCGCCTTTAATCGGGTAGACCCGTTCCTTTCTCTGGTGCTAGTCGCACCCAATAACTTACCCAAACAATATACCTGGTCAACGGTCTACAAAGTCCACAACCTTCCAGTCCAGCTCCGCAATCTGACTCTTTCTTTCCTACCCTTCCGGGCCGGTTCCCTTCTTCGTAACCTTCTTTATTTTTGTCTCAAATTGAACTTTTATGTATGTTCATATGCGGCCCCGTTCCAGTTTTTCCAATGGATCCCATCACCTAAAGTAGAGCGTTGTACCCCCCCCCCCCCACCCACCCCCTCTCTATTTCCTCCTCCGCTGCGACTATCACCGACCAGTATTTGTTCGCCTAAGACCACATCTTCTCCCCCCCCCCCCCGACGAGCGTTTCTCTTGGGCCAGGGCCCTTGTCATGACTTGTGTTTTCTGCTTCAATAATAGATGGATCGCGCCTAGCAGATGTCCATGGACGAATCTCATCCGGGTAGAGGCCTAGGGTTTACCATCAGGAATCTGTTTCGTTCCCCATCGTTGTCCTCCCCATCTTCGCGGCCACGAAGATCTCTTCTTCGAAGGGGACGCAGTGTGATTGATAGCAAGTAAGCATTCGCTCGTCCTCTATACCTTCTACCCCTCTACTTCGGCTGTTCAGTCTTGGTGTTCACCTGTACGATCCCACTTGCTGCTTTTGGCGCTTTTCACAGAGCCGAGCCTGATTTATGCCACTTCTGTCTCAAGTGTCGAAACACCAGCCAAAACCATTAGACAATGTCGAAACCAAATAGCATAGCATCGAAGCCATGATCTTGGGCGATTTAGAACTGACGCGAGTGAACTTTTCCGCAGCAGAAATTCGATTGACCCCACGAAACGTGCTTCAGCCCCTCCAATGAATGATAATCATACCCGCGAACCAGTAGCGATGATTGGACCCGCGGAATCGTCTACTGTCGGTTGCGACATCTTCGTATGGTACCCGCGCTATCAGAATTGTCAGCGATACTTCTTGGATGATGCGCAACACAGCGTCCCTGTTCAAGCGCTTTCCGCTTTTCTGAACATTCGTCTTCCATTCCAATGGGAATCCAACCCGGTTGCAAGCTCGAGCTCGAGCTCGTCTACCAATCACTCTCCAACAAGCGCCAACCATACCCCTTCGGATTCACCTGGCCCGTCGACAGTGTCCCCTTCTGTCTCGCTGATCCCTTATATTCGTCGCCTCGTGGCTACTGGAATGGATTTTCCGGGGGTGCTTCAAGGATTCTTCGGGAACGAATGGGCCGCCGGCATCGGTCCTCTGCACGAACAGGAGAGACGCAATTACCTCTTCGCCGCCAAAAGCGGGGGATGGGCAGCTGTGAAGAAGGATTACGATATCGCTCCACTGGAGACCATTCCATTCTTACGCCCATTGCAGGGACCGCTGGACTCCGAGATCGAGGCCGCTGAGAGGAGCTGGAGTGACTGGCTTGCCATGGAGGACTGGATGATCGGGCCTCGAGCGCCCGATGCCCTTCGCGATTCATCTTCTAACATGTCACGAGCGCAGAGCTCACGTGGCTGAGGCTTCTAGTCCCTCGATCCAAATCTTCTCTCATTTCCTTGCCTCCTCTTGCTCCATTCTGCATCGATTCCCAGGTTTGACTTCTACAGGTTGAACAATACCAAACGACTATGGGCGGCAGTACGGTGCTTGGGGAACTCATAGCGAACCCGCCCCTATTTTTTTTTAATATTTTTTCTGTTCTTCGCATGCCTGCCATGAGATGACGATCATATGAGTTCTTGAGCGTGATAGACTGCTGCAGGCCCACATTTTAGTTGCGGCTTCAACTATTGACTACGAAGCGCACTCCTTGGCAAGGGGTAGTTATACTTTGATATACACGACCTAGGACTTTTTGAAAACAGCGGCCAATCAATGAATCACATGATAGGCGCTGGTATTTAGTATAGCATTAATGCACAGCTCTTGACTTTGGTGATGTTGACTGCCACATTTGTGAATCCTCGATATCGTGTTTGGGCTTGTCGTCATCGCTAGGTGGAACATGCTTTGCTCGAACGCGAAAATAGCCGCGCCCCCTGAGCCCCCTACTATTGCAATCGCGGTTCACAACCCCCCCCCCTCCAGAACCTAGATGACAGTGCCAACCTGGTGAGGATCGACCACGACAAGTGTCTCGATTGGGCACCTACCTCCGGAACGATAGAAGTCTGAAACAAGCGAAGCGACCTCTAGCGAGGCTGACAGCCCAGTAGTGCGCTTGTGGAACACGGCATTGGTTCGGACGGGAACAATGTACCGAGGCGAACATCACGGTTCGGTTAGAATCGTCATGGGCAAGGTCGTGAGTGAGTGGGCACTCGGAGTTTATCTGGGTCAATCACTCGCACGGAAGATACACTTGTTGCATGCAGTCCGTATTGCGTGAGACTACTAAAGCAGTTCTGCTGAACCTCTGCTTCGAACAGATATTTATTTACGTGTGTCAATACATAGACTCATAGACTACTCACCTTCTTTATTCTCCAAGGGCAGATAAGTTTGAGATCTGAGGCAATGACCTATGTGCCCTGCGAGTCGCACAAACCCGATCCTGGATCGATCGATTTGAATTTTTCCCATCTGCCAACAGTTACCATGGGTGGGAGGAGAGATCGGAGCCGATGGGTTGGATGACGAACCGCGCCCCCCTGCTCCACCGGTCGGAACTCGTGGATCGGATCTGTGGTTATCGATCGCGTAGGGGGGAAGAGGGGGAGGAGAGGATCTCATCCGGGTAGAGTAGCGTGGGCTGTTTCTTTTTCTCCATCGGGTCTGGTATGTACCATAAGTGTACTGTACATATAACTTAGGTAGTAGTTATTCTTGGTTCCTCGGCCAGTCGGGACTCTTTTGGTCCTACTCCTCGGGTTGTGTCCCTGCAGGAGGAACCCTACTCAGAGATCCGCTATGCATAAATATGCACAAAACCCAATCGAACAAGCATGGAAACTACGGTAGAGAGTTCATAGAACAAAACTAGATTGCAGTTTAAACTTCTTTTGGACTTTTTCGACGAAGATCCGCGCCAGTGGATGAGGCGCGCGGCTGAAGAAGCGGGGGGGGGGGAAGGAGGGGAGAGGGGGATTTTAGCCCGTAGTCTACACAAACTTTACAACATTGTTGATGATATGATGGATGCACAAACTAAACCATGTTGGTGGGCAGTTCTCTGGTTGCTTCAGGCTAGCTCGGACATATCTTGAAACCAGGTACGGGGTGGTGTTTGCAACTAGTCCAGATCTCTCCTAATGAAGGGGCAGACTGGGACGGCAGACACTGGTGGTGATAGAAACAGTCGGTAACGGTTTCATACATTGATTACTTACCATGGGTCACAGACATGACCGTACCGTAATATGTGGTACATATATGGTACTAGATAGAGCCAACCTATCTTCCAGCTGTATGTACTGTACCTCATTCTGTCAATCACATAAGAACCGTTTCGCAATCGATGTATCCAGTAAGATACAGTGCTATACTTGAATCCATAGTGGCATAGCGTGTAGGAAGAAAGCTATTTAGTACAAATACAGCACCTTGACCGGATGTATCTGCTACCCCGGTACATGTAGATGGGCTGATTTCATACCCGTTTCTCTGAAGCAGGGTGCTAAATCTTGGCTAGGATTAACAATGGTATGTGTCCAAGACATGCAGCCGCAGATAGAATTGACCCCACGCAGCTTGCCAATTAAGAAATCATCGGCATAGGAGATATTCCCCGAGTCAGCTCTCTGTGCTTCTCATTCGCTGTCAACCGAGCTACGTGTAGGGATAATTCTCCCGAGAGACTACAGCATACATAATCTTTGTGTTATCCAGTGGTTGTATTCAATAGTTCCAGCCAACTCACGCGACGGACTGTACTTCTACTGTCTGTCAGGTTGTGTCTGTACTGTTCCCTGCCTTTCATTGCGAGATTAGGGATGATCTTTGCCTTCGTGCAACATCATGTTAGTTTGTGTTACAACCAAGTATTAGTAGTATGTTCTGATTGCCAGTCTTCCTACATAGAATACTTCAGTACGGTCTGTTAGTCAATGAGACGATAGCCTTATGTCAGGAGCAACTGCAACCATAATGAACTCTCCGGTAAATGTGAAGCCTAAGCTTCATAACTCTAGCTCACCCGCCCCATAGTTTCGAGTTGTGGGGTGTCGAGTTCAACAAATCGAGCCCAGGTATATCGCCGGATACGTGGGTGTATTTAAGCTTTAATGGGTTTCTGCCACTTAACATACTATACGGGTCTCCTTGCTGGCCTAGACAGGTCTAATGGGTAGGATTTTATCTACGGATACTGTCTCTTCGAGTAGAGGGAAAGCCTACAACATCGCCGAGGAGGAGCGTGTATTGGGGATCCATTATACCGATTACTCACACAATAATAAGTTGAAACAGACTGTGAAATATTGATCCAGCTGAGCAAGAGCACTGCGTACTGTATAGAAGATGTTCCTAGAATCTGAAAGTTCTGCCCCTTCGAATTGACTGGAACCGTTTGAACGAACCACATACGGACGGACTGCTGGACTGCGTAGCAATTGACGAGCGTCGATGTGCGAGAAGTAACATCTCACATGAGACATGGCTGTTATATGACAAGGTCATGGCAGATGTGTTGGTATGATGTCTTAATTTGACATTCGCCAACATGCCCGCATCTCTTCCGTTCCTGCTTCCCCTGCTTCCTGCTTGACTAGAACTGGCATGAACTATGGCCTGGCTGCCTCCGTCCGTGCGTCATGTGAGCGCGGCGAGAGTATAACCCCCCCCCCTCCCTCTTTCCCACTTTTCTCGTCTCCAAACTCGCGGCGGCTGAGAGTTGTGTGTGTGCTGGAGCAAGCGATGAGAGGGGTATATACAGGAGTGAGTCGAGCGAGCTACAGAAGCTGCGCAGTTTCAATAATCCAGATTAGAGATATCGCTTGTGTTGTCGATGCAGCTGCTTATTTCCAGAACCACTGTTTATGCATGCATGGACTTCTAGTGTGCCTGGCCCCCCCCCCCCCAAGCTGTCAGGATGGCGGCCCGCACAGCCTATTTTACATTCTAGATTTAGCATGCAGGCATTGCGTGACCTTGATTCATGCACTTCGTGAGCTAGCTACGCATGTGCCTGACTCGACGCACTTGGGCAATTACCACTAGCTGAAGCAAGTATAAAGTGTCCTCTTGTATTCGTTCTCAGATTCCACAAATGATAGTTGCGTAAGTATGCAAATGGTCCCTTTGTTGGTTTCCGCTCTGAGCGGGATCTCAGAAAGGACTTTTCCCCTGCTGTGTCGAATCAATGCGTCGATCGACAACAATAGCCTAAAGAATAAGGCTGTGATTGATTGATGCTTCCAAGTCCTCGATAGGCGGCCACATTGAGGACCAACGGCCGACAAAGGGTGGTTCACTTGATTGGTGGTATAATCACCAGAGAGACTGATGCCGACATCGGATCCTACTTTGCCTCTGGAGGAATGCACTAGCGCTAAGAAAAGTACTACCGCTGATGGTAGAGCGGAAAAGGTCAGCGCATGGCTAGTGTAGTTCTCCTTGCCTTCCTACTGACAAGTACACCGCAGAGCATTTTATTGGCTAGAAGGCGATGTTAAGTAAAATGAGAAAGTAATCATTGTAGATATCGACGCGTCTGGTGGCGTCGAGCCTGATGTTCAGTTTGAGCGCTTGGCCAGTCCTCACCTACCCAATTGTATTGTAGAGTGTGTGATCGGGGTTACACTGGTGCATTAGTACTTTCCCCGGATCTTGCATCTTACCCTCCCCATCTTCCCCAACAACCAGATGGATGAAAGGACAGTTGCCTCCCCCAGACAACCAAGCAAAGTCCAATTCGGGCCAGAATCCCTGTCAACAAACCCCGACCCCCGACGGATGCATTAGTGGGGGAGTTTAGCGGGCAGCTTGTGGTCTTAGAGGCGTTAAAGTTAAGACACCGCGTGCGCATTCCGCTCGGAAGGCCATACTCGGGCGAGTCGGCTCAGGGAAGGAGGGAAGGGGGGTGGGGGAAGGATGATTAAAGAGGTTTAGTGCCAAAGTTTCTTCAGCACCTGCCAATGTTTAAGCCTGCCTGCACCGCAGATTCCCTCCCTGTCCTCGAATCCGAGGCAGTGAGCACAGACGGGACAGCCTTAGTGCCACCCTCTCGGGTTGCGGAACTCGGCTACTTATCTATGACAATTCTAGCATGTCATTGGCTCTGATATTGTCGAGATAAGGATGGACAAGGGTCTTGGCTTATGCTGATTGGCTCCGCAGTCACTGTAACTCGATTTGAATTGGTAACCTTGAACTCACCCTTCCCCCATCACATGTGCCCCAGGTGAGTTTAGCCAGTCAGCCGCAACCTAAAGGTTTCCTTGCTGCTACAGTACAATGAACATGACTCCAATGTGATGTCGATGGCTTTCGTGTGCCCTAGGAGGCAGGGATGTGCCATCGTGTTGCGTTGCCTTTTCAATTGGCGAAGCGGTCCATAGGCAGAGTTGTGATTAGGCGATGGTCAGGTTACCGGTGAGATGGACAGAGCAAGGCCACAGATGGTATGATCGCCCGGTGAACCGTGTGTTATACTTGCCCGCCTTCCCGTACCACCACCACCAGCCAGCGGCGGCCATCTCTTCTTCCCCCCTCTCCCCCTCTCCCCTCCCCCCCGCTGTGTCCACTGGCCACGACCCTACTCAGCTCAGCTCACCGGGAAGCCGGAGTCTCCCGACAATGTGAACGATGCATCCTGTTTTCGGAGAGAACATCCAACAACGATGTGCTTCCTTAGTACGGAGTACTTTCAGTCTTCAGAGGGCGCACTTTACTTAGTAACGATCGCACTGATAGCGCGTAAAACCATCAGATAAGAATTTCGCTCACACGTGGGGCGCACTGCACTTGGGGGGGATCTGAGGATCGATTCCAAGATCACGTGCCATCGATAGGTCTGCAGGGAAATGCTTGGCATACAATTTCACCTCGTACAGTAAGTACAGAACAAAGGGGAACAGATCAGAAGCCCACTACGGAGTACTCCTACCGGACAGCTGTTCATAAACACATGGGCAATAGACGACGTACATTTTTATCCCAAAGAAAAAAAAATCCTCTTAATCCAGTTCGCTTAGAGTCCTGCATCCCGAGAGATTCCTTGCCACACGAGGATTTCCCGGGAGGCCTGCAAGCGGCGAGAGGGGCGGGTTTCCGCCGATAGATAACGGGCGCAGATTCTGTGACCATAAACTATCGACTAACACTGCCCCGAACTTCGGACGCCCACCCGGCATTGGGTTGCCGTGATTAGTCCCGCTGCCGCTGACTTGCCTTACTACTTTTTCCTCTCCGGCGGGGACTCCCTTATGTTTCGTCCGACTCCGGCCGTTACTGGACACCTTTTTTGGATTTTCCCGTTTCTCTTTTTCTTTTCATTTTCGTTTTGCCGTCCGGACAACCCTCTTCCGCTCCGACCCAGTGGCACCCACCATCCACTGCTACCTACCATGACTGCTACCACAGACCCAGTCCGGGGTCGGGGGTAGAAGGAGACAAGGAGAGGAGGAGGAGGAGGAGGAGGAGGGGGAGAGGAGGGGGACTGAAACGGGAAGGCAGAGGGAGAACTCGGAAAAAAAAGAGGCGATGGGAAAGATACATAAACCCATTCTCTCTCCTCCCTCTTCACACCACACTCTCTCTTTCTTCCATCCCCATCCTCCTTCCCATCTCTCTCCCAGACCAGGTTCTCAAAGTCTTGTCGGGTATTCTTTGGGTCATTCTTCTTCTAACAACACTATACTAAATACTTTTCCCTCCCTCATTCACCATGTCCAACCTTCCCGTTGAGCCCGAGTTCGAGCAGGCCTACAAGGGTATGTTCTTCTATCATTCCAAAAATCGCTACCAATATATGTTGCCACTGTAGCTAACAACCCCTCCCTGAACAGAGCTTGCCTCGACCCTCGAGAACTCCACTCTTTTCCAGAAGAACCCCGAATACCGCAAGGCTCTGGCTGTCGTCTCCGTCCCCGAGCGCGTCATCCAGTTCCGTGTCGTCTGGGAGGATGACCAGGGCCAGGTCCAGGTCAACCGCGGTTTCCGTGTCCAGTTCAACTCCGCCCTCGGCCCCTACAAGGGTGGTCTCCGTTTCCACCCCACTGTCAACCTCTCCATCCTCAAGTTCTTGGGTTTCGAGCAGATCTTCAAGAATGCCTTGACTGGTCTGAGCATGGGTGGTGGTAAGGGTGGTTCCGACTTCGACCCCAAGGGCAAGTCCGACAACGAGATCCGCCGCTTCTGCGTTTCTTTCATGACTGAGCTCGCCAAGCACATCGGTGCCGACACTGATGTCCCCGCTGGTGATATCGGTGTCACTGGTCGTGAGATCGGTTTCCTCTTCGGCCAGTACCGCAAGATCCGCAACCAGTGGGAGGGTGTCCTCACTGGTAAGGGCCTCACCTGGGGTGGTTCCTTGATCCGCCCCGAGGCCACCGGCTACGGTGTTGTCTACGTATGTTTCCCTTCCCTTTCTGGCATCACAGGCGAGTTCCGTGCTAACAGGACCTCGCAGTACGTTGAGCACATGATCCAGCACGCTACCAACGGCGCTGAGTCCTTCTCCGGCAAGCGCGTCGCCATCTCTGGCTCCGGTAACGTTGCCCAGTACGCCGCCCTCAAGGTCATTGAGCTTGGTGGTTCCGTCGTTTCCCTGAGCGACAGCCAGGGCTCCCTCATCGTTGTCAACGACTCCAGCTTCACCCCCGAGGAGATCGCCTTGATTGCCGACCTCAAGGTCGCCCGCAAGCAGCTCGCCTCTATCGTCTCCGAGGGTGTCTTCGCCGACTCCGCCAAGTTCAAGTACATCGCTGGTGCTCGTCCCTGGAAGCACGTTGGCAAGGTCGACGTTGCCCTTCCTTCTGCTACCCAGAACGAGGTTTCCGGCGAGGAGGCGCAGGCGCTGATCGATGCCGGTGCCAAGTTCATCGCTGAGGGTTCCAACATGGGCTGCACCCAGGAGGCTATTGACACCTTCGAGGCCCACCGCCAGGCCAACGCCGGCAAGGCTGCCATCTGGTACGCCCCCGGTAAGGCCGCCAACGCCGGTGGTGTCGCCGTCTCCGGTCTCGAGATGGCCCAGAACTCTGCCCGCCTCAGCTGGACCTCTGAGGAGGTTGATGCCCGTCTCAAGGACATCATGCGCTCCTGCTTCAAGAACGGTCTCGAGACCGCTATTGAGTACGCCACCCCTGCCGAGGGTGTCCTGCCTTCCCTGGTCACCGGTTCCAACATCGCTGGTTTCACCAAGGTTGCTGCTGCCATGAAGGACCAGGGCGACTGGTGGTAAATGCTTCGCCATCGTCGATGAGATGGTGCTATGATGATGACTTTTTCTTCTCCCGTTTTGTTTCAGCGCATGGATAGAGGCGCCGGCTGCTTTACTTCATAGTACATATTTACCATACCTTTTTTCACAATCATGAATCATGAATGTCAAATCAATGGGTCATTGCCACGCGTAATCACTAGTTCTTGCATCTAGCCCCAGAGAGATGTTAGCCCGCCGCAACATAGATCTTCTCCTGTGGTAGTCCCACCTCCCTGTAATAAGCTTTCGATCGGATCTTGGCTTTGAGATTTGCCGACAAGAACAATAGACGGACGAGGTACTGTCCTCATAGGAGGGCTTTCCTTTCCGCCTTCCTCCTCAGGCCGGCAGGAGTCCCTTCCATCCATCCATGTCTCCTATCCACGATTCATCTCTTAAGATGATACGGCATCCAGACAACGCACGGATCAATTTACGGGTTCACTACATACCTGCATAATTCTGTATTTTGCTCTCGATACCCACCACGAGCGGAGACCATTCTACACACGAAACTTTCACCAAGCATGGTCAAAAATGCTCCATGGACACAGCTACGAGGTCTCGACCGTTGCATTCCAAATCGGCATCGGGCGCGTTCACTGCCTCGGGGCGCCTCGAATCTCAATCTACCTGGAAACCGGCGCCCAGAATCTCGGGAGAACAATGACTTTTATTCGTGACACCTTACCTGATAAGTAAGTTAACTACTGCTTTATTTACGGGGGTGAAACGGTGTATGGTATAAATGTAACTTACGGGCTGTATGTGACGGGACGGTACTGAACGGTATGCTGCTAAATTTCAGAGTCACGTACGGGTACCTCAAGTGGTATTGAAGTGCCGTGGCATTTACGACTAGTGTTCCCGCACAGCCACTGCCTAGACTAGCCACAGGCACAGGCACAGACATTGACAGGGAGGGTTGTCTCCTAAGTCTTAACTATTGACTTCAAAGCTTATTGCACCATGAAGTCGCGCTGCATGAAATATGGGGACATCATTACAGTAAACAATACGTTCAACCAGCAAGTCTTCGAGCTGTGTATGTATGGACCGTTCGATTCATCAGGGTACTTTGATCCATAACCCTGCTTCTCTGTACATAATCATCGCCAATTGTCTTCCGATGTATAGATGGTGTAGCGCGCAAATCAAATGACGCTTCAGTATGATGTCAACGCTGTCACGTTGCGATGCGGTCGGTTTGTCATTCCAAATGCTAATGCAACCTGACGCCATGCTAAGTCCAGGATAAAACAGAATATTAAACAATGTATGGGTATCACAAGGCATATCCCCAAGGGGAGAAAACAAGAAAATCAATCACTCCGTCAGGTGGACGGTCGGTAGCGGATCCAAGAGCACACTGCGCCGTCGCGACAGCACTCCACCCACAGACGGATTGTCCTTGGCACGCGGCACGCCGCGGCTACGGCGGCGAGGATGTCGCAGGTGTTCGTTGGGCACCGGGTCCACCTGCTTCTTGGCCGCCGGTACGAGGTTCAAATATATTGGGAATATGGCACCCGCGGCGGAAACCGCCACGAGAACGCTATACGAGTAGGATACGCCGCCTACCAGTTGCGCTGCGTACTGCGCAAACGGGAAGATACCGCCCCCTCCGATGGCCATCGTCAGCAGACAGCCGGCTGTCTTGGTATGTCGTCCCGTGCCCCGCAAAGCGATGGCAAAACTGATACTGAAGGCACCGCTTTCGAACAGATATACAAGCTCGGCCATTGTCACCGCCGTGAGGCCGGTGGTATGCATGCACAGCGCAGCGCACACGATCATGCCAATGTAGGACAACAGCAGAATCCAGCGTGGCTTGAGAAACCATTGCAGAAGAGCGGCTAAAAATCGCCCCACTGCAAAGACCGTGTGCCCAATGGTCAAGAACTCGAAGGGAGTCAAGGAACCGCTGCAACCGCTTTAGTGAAAAGAGCAAAAAGACACCCAGGATAGGGAACTTACTTTGGATGAACTTCCTCAACAAAACGCACGAAGCTCATAGACAACACTTCCTGGCCCGCGACATACATGAACACAGACCATATACCCAGACCCAGAGTGACCCAAACCACCGGCAACCCCGCCACGCGAGCACGGTTGTCAGACCGCCGACGGTTGGCCAACTCTTCCAGATCAGCATCGGAAGCTTCTGGGACAGGCAGGTAGTAGAAGACGAGAGCCAGGATCACGTCGAATAGAGCAATGCCAAGGTAGGTCCACTGAACGTCTACCAAGGAGGAAACATCAGTCACCTTTTTAAACAGAACCTTTTTCGCAAGAAGCTGCGAAACAACACTGCCAACAGCCTGAACACCTTGTGAGATGTTCAGACGAATCTCGGAGTTTTCGAGCGGACCGCATAGAGCAATAAACGGGTTGCCGGCTGTCTCAAGCACGGCTAAGCCGAACCCGACAATGAAGTTGGACACAGCGAACGCTGAATAAGAAGTCAACACAGCGGAGGGCCAGAAGATGAGGGAGCCGCATGCGTAGATGCAGAGGCCCGTTATGAATGAAGCCTTGAAGCCCCAATGTTTGAGCACGGGACGGCCCACAAGCGGTGGACCCAACAGATAACCACCGTAGTAGGTCGCGTGCAACCCGTACGATCGATATACACCAAGGTGTAAGATTTTCTTGAATTGCTCATTCAGCATGTCGAGCAATCCGTAAGCGAAGCCCCAGAGAAAGAACAGAACAGTGGTGAACGCGATGGGCGTAATGGACTCCTTGTTGCTCAGCTTGAGCATATTCGCGGGCTGTTTCATATTGACAAAGTCGAAAAAGGTGATACTGGGCGGGTAGGAGGAATTGGTCACTGTGTTCGTGCGCTGCTCCACGTCGGTCGCTTCCGGGCCTGAATGGGGCGGCGGGGTGGCCAGGAACTCCGTAAGATCAACGCGTGCGTCGCTGCCAGCCTGACTGCTCCGACTCTCCGACTGGGTGGGTTTAGGATTTGGGGTTCCATTGGGCGGGGCAGGTCGGGGCACAGAGTCCCCGACTGCAATGGGCGCCAGCGGCTGTAGCGGTTGGGTGCCCGGCGAAGAGGCTTGATAACTCTCGTCAGTGTCGCGAATGAGCTTGGGAAGCAACCGGGCGACGAGCGGCTTGAGGCTGGGAACGCAGGCGCATATAATGGAAACATTGACTTCGATGACGGACCACATGAAGGAGAATGCCGCGTACCCTAAAGCTTGAGTTAGAGGTAGACGAAGATGCAACAATGGGGCACAGTCGACTGACAGCTCAAATCGTCGCCGGGGGTACCCTGCAAGTGAACTTCCTTGAGAGCAATCTGACGGGAGGTCGCAGCATCTTGAATGTAGGCGATGCGAATGACATCAACAACGGCGACGAAGAACCCAAAACTGAAGGTGATGACGATGATGATTTTCTGCTTGCGCGGCAGGCGCATGCGCGTGAGGATGGGGTTCGGTAAACAGAGGATGGCCAGGTCGGTAATGATGTTGACGGGGGAGGAGGATAGATAGAGGGTGAGGATGTCGATGCACTTGGCGCCGTCGGGCAAGGGATATGCGACAGCAGCACTGACTGGACGGCACTGGAAGACGTTGACCAGGGTGAGGGCCAGGCCAGCGGCATTGACGACGAAGAGGGTGACGTAGGTGGCCCAGCGGAATATCTTTTCGCCTTGTGTAAGGGTCAGGTAAAAGACCAGGATGGAGGTTTTGATGGCCATCAACGTCGGGTTCTGAGTCGTCCGTGAGAAGAGCGCAGGGAGTAGAAGCGGAGCGGAGGACTCACGTAAAGGACGGTAAAGGCGTAATCGGCGCGGTTGAGGCCAGGCCGTTGCTCGGGGCGAATATTGACATCGTGAAGACCGAGACCTTGGTGGGTAGCGTAGAAGAGGGAGAAGGAGAAGCCGAAATCAAGGAACTGGAGGTTGTTCGGGAGTATGGTCAGTTCGCTTATCGCCCTGTATAGAGGAAACTGATATGATGGATGTATACCCAGGCCAAGAGCATAAAATAGTCATGCAGGGCAATTTTGCGAACTATAAAAAGGCGAGACACGAAGCGCAAGGCAACAAAGACGGTGGCGACAACAAAAAAGACGATGGAGACGGTTACAACTGTCGGTCGTTGGTCTTCCATCACGGAGAGAGAAGAGGGGAAGAGCGGAGGAGAGCGAACTCGGAGGGAGCGGAAGGGTCGGTTAGCGGCGGGGAGGAGGAGGGGGGGAGGAGGAGGGAGGCAGGCCCATGATTAATTTCGCTCGACGGGTTCACGGCATGGAGGCAGATGATTCTATACATATGAGATATGAAGACTGGTCAATTTGAAAAAGACAAGATGAAGGCGAAATAGCAGTTGGAAAGAGAGCGTGGGTGGTGAAAGGAGAGGAAAAGAGGAACGAGAAAAGAGAAAAGAGAAAATAAGAATAAGGTTGAGGGGATGAAGCGGAGAAAAGGAAGAGGAGAGAGAGAGAGAGAGAGAGAGAGATTTGGAGGAGGAAGAAGGCAGGAAAGCAAGTAAGCAGGCAAGGCAGGCAAGGCAGGCAAGGCAGGCAAGGCAGGCAAGGCAGGCAAGGCAGGCAAAGCAGGAAAGAGGAAAATAGACGAGGGAAAAAGGGAAGGGAAAGGAAAGGAAAGGATGGAACCTCCAACCACTCAACTCGCAGGTGGGCAAGAAGGGCACCGGACGGAACTTGGAAGGCTTACTCGACAATTTAATTTAAGCACAGGAAAAAAAGAAGAAAAAAAAAAAAAAAACAAAAAAGAAAAAAAAGAGGGGGAAATTAAATACAATATGGCAAATTAAGTAAGCTAAAAACAATCGCACTGAATGTTGATCGACAGTCACCTTTGTCAAATCGAAGGAATGATTTCACTCACAAAACAGTAGAAAATGGTAAGGATGAGAGAAGAGGGAGAGGGAGAGGGAGAGAACGACGTCGACGTTAACTATGTTATTTCTCTTCACCCCCTCGCGTGGCATCTCTTACATTGATACGGAGTAGACCCGTTATCGTTCCTGAGCGATCGGCTGTTTAATGTTTAATAGTACGGTGTGATAGATTATCTGCATGGGGATCTATTGGGGCACTATACCACTTCAGTATTCTTGTTGAATGGGGGCCATTGCTTGATTTGTTTAGCGAGGTCTTTTATCCCCCGCAATCTTCGCTGCCATCGGCTGACAACTATAGCATGCATACATACACACCTACATCCAGCCCTAATCCCAGTCGACAATGCTCTGCTCATCAACCAGGATCTTCCGCTTAGGTGGTCTTGCTGCTAGCACATGGTCCCAGAACCTCTATTATGGATGAAATCAGCCAGTTCGACCCGACACTCACCCGGGGCATATGAACGATCCTGCACAAACAACTCTTGTATAAAGAACCGACCTGTGGCTTCAATCTCTCCGTCTACGAAACGGCACGGCCCCCTCTTCACCATGAAAGCTGCAATAATCCTTGCAACCCTGCTGACAGCTCTAGCTGTCTGTCAGGATCACGACTACTGGGTTGACCGAGTCTGGGGGGAGCTGCAGCAGGCTGTGACGTGTGCAACCTGCGAGGTGAGCGGAACGCTAGCCGAGATGACCGACTGGCCAGGTATTGACATTGGATGCAGATCCTGTTAGGCACATTGAAGACCGTGGCGCATCAGGGCCCAGATGTTCTGCGAGCCGTCTTGACTGAGGTGTGCACGCAGGCCAAGGTAGATCGATCATCTTTGGTCTTTGGTCTTTGTTGTCACGCTAAATCGCCGAGTCCAGATTGCCGATGCCGATGTGTGCCAGGGCACCACGGCCGCCCAAGCGCCCAGCGTCTTTTACATCCTCGAGCAGCTGCAGATTGGATCGGCGACCAGTCGGTTGATGCGCTAGCTTGGGTCGCCTGTGTCCGTGGCCAGAGATCGATTTCAATCTGACTCCTACCACCCGAACCGTCGAGCAAGCCCATGCCGCGGAGCGTCAACCATCTAACGGGTCGTGAAAATCGAACCGTCCGCGTGGCGCATCTCAGCGACACGCACGTTGACCGCTTCTACACGCCGGGGGCCAGCTATCTCTGCTCCCCACCCGTGTGCTGCCGGCCATATACAGCGGGCAATGCGCCCAACGGCACGCTCTTCGCCTGCGGGGACTGGGGCAATCCTCGATGCGATCCTCCCATTCGCCTGCTGACGGACAGTTTATTGCCCGTCCTGCAGGGCCTGCAGCCTCCGCTTGCCTTCAGCCTATTCACCGGGGACGTCGTGCCCCACGGTTTCTGGCTCACCAGTCGAGCGTCCGTCGAGGCCGACTACAACACCACGTATACCGCGCTGCAGACGCTCAACCGCCAGGGACCCGTCTATCTCGCCCTCGGCAACCACGACACCTCTCCGATCAACATCTACCCGGTGTCTCCCACGCAACCTTCAAGTTTCAACCCGCAATGGGCCTACGACCTCTTCGGCTTCTGGTCGAACCGGCTCTCCCTGCAACCGAGGCCCCCATCACCATCACCATCACCATCACCACCAGTACCAGTCCCCCAACCCAAGAACCACGGCAACTACAGCATCCTCCACCACCACCACCAGACTGACACCCCAACACTCAAGATAATCACCCTCAACAGTCTCCTCTACTACCGCCTGAACACCCTCATCTACACGACCCCACCAACCCCCGACCCCGTCTCCCAATTCGAATGGCTGACCACTGAACTCCACCAAGCCGAGATCCACCACCAGCGCGTCTGGCTCCTCACCCACGTACCCCCGGGCGACAGCCACATCCTCCCTTGCTACGCCTGCGCCCTGAGCCAGATCATCGTGCGCTTCCGCGCCACCATCGCCGCCATCTTCTCCGGCCACCGACACCTGGATCTCTTCCAAGTGTACTACCGCCCCCTACCCCCAAATCACATCTCCAGCACCACCTGCACCCGCGGAGCCATAGGCATCAACTACATCACGCCCAGCCTGACATCCGAACACGGCCGGCCGGCCTTCCGGCTCTACGACGTCGACCCTACCACCTGGACGGTCGTGGATTATACGGTCTACGTGGCGGACTTTCAGAGTACCTCGTCGGTCCAGCTGTTCCATGGGGACAGTGCGGGAGGGTGCCGATGCGGATGCATACCACCCAGAAGGGCGGGGAAGGGGGGGAGCGCTGACGTGGAGGAAGTACTACTCGGCCCGCGAGGTATATAGGACTGGCATGGAGGAAGAGGAGGAGGAGGAGGCAGATGATAACCCGCCGCCCCTTTCCCCGGGTTTCTGGGATGATTTGACGGTGCGCATGGCGGGGAATGAGACGCTGTTCGAGGAGTGGTGGACGCGACGCACGCGGGGAGACTGGGTGAAGCCGTGTTCTGGGGCGTGTCGGCGGAGGGAGATCTGTTACTTGAGGGGTAGGCCGGACGGTCGCGAGGGGGAGGGGTGGGAGGGCTGTCCCGGGAGTTTTGTCACCATGGGCGGGCATGGGGATGACTTTGCGTGGGCGGGGCAGTGGATGATGGAATAGGTAGGTAGGAAGGCTAGTGGGTAGGCTGGTGGGATTGTAGTCGTGCAAGGAATGAATACACGGTGGGGGAGGCACGGCAGCTTAGAATACGGAATGGGTGCAGTACTTGTTGACTTTCCAAGTTGGCTACGGGTCTATTCCACAATCAAGTCCTACTGGTACCAACCCAATTCCCCAGTTACTCCTACTCGCTACACTTTACTTGGATCCAAGGACAAGATGAAGAAAGAAGGCAATCTATTCAGGCCATCGCGCCGCGACGGGTTCGTTCCATTCTCCCAGATAACTCAACAAAAAGATATGCACACGAAAAAAAAAAAAAGCTGTAGCAGGGTAATCATTCTATCCGTAAATCACGTTTCCTTCACACATCTACTGGATGTACCAGTCGACACCGCTGACACGGCCGGCACCCAGTTCGGCCAGCTCGAGGAACAGCGACGAGGACAGATCGATGGAGCCTTCGGCACAACCCATGCAGGTGTCGACGATGGTACCGGTAGCGGTCTTGCCGCCGTAGTTGATGGTCACCGACTTGCCACAGTAGCTCTTCTGCATGATGGTGTGCGACAGGGCCAGGACGTGCTCGCTGTCGGTGTTGGTCTCACCGCAGGATCCTAGACCGACCTCGTAGTAGGTGATGTCTCCGCTGCAGGGCGAGGACTCGGAGCAAACGCCAGAGGAGCTGGAGCCGGAGCTGGAGCTAGCACTGGTGGTAGCAGCGGCAGCAGCGGTGGTGGAGGTGGAAGAGGAGGAGGAGGAGGAGGTGGTGGTGGTCCAGGCCGAAGTGGTGGAAGTGGTGGAGGAAGTGGTGGTGGTGGCGTGCCACTGCTCAGTGGTCGAAGTAGCGACGCTGGTGGTCCACTGAGGAACCTCGGGGGTCCAAGTGAAGGAGGGCACGGCGGGGGCGGTCCAGGCGGGCTGTTCCCATCCAGCTGTTGTAGAAGTGGTGTAGGAGCTGTGGTGCGAGCTGTGGTGCGCCTGGGTGTGATCGGCGACCTTGTTCACAGCGTTGTTGGTGGAGGTAGGCTCGACAGTGACGGTGGTGGTCACGTCGACGGTGGTCCAGACAACCGAGGTGACGGTCTCGATCTCCACAACCTGATCGCGCTTGTCGACAGGGGCGGCCGAGGCGAAAGCCGCAAGCAGGGAGCCAACGAGGGCAAGAGACTTGGTGATGGGAGCCATTGCTTTTGGAATTGTTGAGTTTGACGAGGGGTATCTGGTGGATTTTCTTTTTTTTTTTTGGAGTCTAGAAAGCGGGTTGCTTGGTTGCTTGGTTGCTTGCTTGAGGGTATGTCTATCTAGACGAAGGACTGGCTGACTCTGGTCGACAGAGGAATTGGAGGATCTCGAAGATAAGGACTGACTGACTGACTGCACTGCAGTACAATAGCAAAGCGAACCCGAGGGAGTGTGGGTGTGAAAGAAGGAACGACAGACGCTGCTGGTTGAGAAGCGAGAAATGAAGGAGAGGAGAGACCGAGAGGGGCAGCCCTTTATAAAGTATGGATGGAGGGGGAGTGGGAGGAGGGGGAGGGACTGACAGTCAAGGCCGGGACCGTCTACGGAAATCGAACTGGTGTTAGTGCACTAGTGTTCGGCTACAATAAAACGATTTTTTACTTTAAACATTTTTCATTTTGATTATTGAATTGAAATTATAAGAGTGAATATTATACGGACTCGTCACAGTAAAAAGTAAAAAAGTGAATACAAAAAAAAAGGAGCTAACCCGGGGAGAGTGCCAATCATCCATAACAAGCGTTGTCCCTGGCAGAGCCAACCAACAGGAAGGAGGAAGGATTGGCCCGAGTTCAGTTCAGGCCCCCGCAGCCCTGACCGAGAGAGTGAGTCGGATCCACTGCAGCAGCCCAGCTCGTGAACGCCCCGATCAACTGGTCAGGCACGGAACCAGTCACAAGTCAACACCACACTTTTGGCAACGGGTACCTCAGGAACTGGAACTGTCCTACCACTCAGTAGGTACTGTACAGTGCAGTCTGTTTTACCCACTTCTTCTCACCGTCTCTCCCAGGGTAAACTTACCGTCCCTGCTCTTGACTCCTCCTCCTCCTCCTCCTCCTCCTCCTTCCCCCTCTTCCCCGTCTACCAATAATTGCTTGTCTGCCACCTCATCGACATGTGTTTTCCCGATGGCCACGCCTCGTATTGGACATTTGGAGGAAGAAAGGAAGAATGACGTGAACGGTACAGTCATTCAGCGTGTTCCTGAATGCCGACGGATCGACTGATTGGCGGGCCCTCGATTGACGCCGGTGTCTCAGCCAGGCGGGTTTGGAGGGCGACTAAGTGTGCTGACTGGTCGCCGCATTTGTTAGGTCTCCATTGACTTTTTCTGCGCTGTGGCTTGTACAGTACAGTCTCCGTACAGTTTCCTTCTTTCTTCTTCTCTGCAGGCACCAGGGCCCGTCATCGATCAGCCATCGCGATCCCTTGATTATGATGGTGCACCCTCCCTCTCCCTTCTCATTACCAAGAACCAATAAATCCAACTCAGCCACAAGCCACATCCAGTTGACTAGAAACGGTGCCTGACGGGACGGCATGCACAAATTACGATTATTGGGATTGAGCCTCAGTCCAAAGACTTCACAAAGTCAAAATAAAAATAAAATCAAATCCAAGAAAAACAGCTAAGAAAAGAAAACAACAAACATTCGTCCGACACATCTTCCCCTGAACGTATCATTTGAGACACCCTCTGCTATCGACCTCTTTCAATCCTGCCTTTCATGACTAAACCTTTTTTTTTTCTCCTCCTCCCCCTCTCACTTGGTGGCAAAAAAAAAAAAACAGCATGGATGGATCCTGGATCCTGGATCCTGGTAGATTTCACCATCTCAGGAACGTAGCCTATGGAGGCGTCGACCGTGCGGTGTCGACGTGTCCGCGACCCTCCGAGTCTTGGGGACTCCATCGCAGCGCGCAGCCAGTGAGGGCGGGCAGCGCGACCAGTACGGCGGCCAGATGAGTCCAATTGCGGATGCTTTCCCCTCTTCTTGGGGGGCTTTCATCTGTCCAGGGCTGCATCTTCCCCTCTTCTGAGTGCTTTTTGCCTTGCCCTCATCTCTGCCCCACTGCGAAAATTTTTGGTTGTGTCGGACCTTCCAGTAAGGCCGATTGGAGGGGATGCAGTCGCCTTCACATTGATCTAGTCTAGACCGGTGGACAAGACAGTGTCGATGTAATTATCCACTGCGGATTCTTTCCATTCTTTCATGTTTGTGTGTGTGTGTGTGTGTGTGTGTGTGTGTGTGTGTGTGGGAATACGAAACTTGGCAATGGAGTTTGACTGTATGAGACGCCACATGGGCTGATGGAGTCAACGGACACAAACACCCAGCGCTCGGTCCAGACCCTGATCCCTGATGGATGGATCTGTGATCCCGACCGGTCAAGAAAGACGTGATGCGATTATCAATCCATTGCATTCTTAGTCCTGTACATACTCCGTAGGTATGAGTCCTACAGCGACTCTACAGTCTACGCCTACAGTACACAGATCTATTCTACCGATCAATTGAGAATCAACAATCCAGAAACCTGCACCGTGACATCAAGCCCGCCTCCGCCCATGACATGTATCGCATCTGCAGAGCATTCTCGGCGCCCCCTCACTCCCTCCCTCTCCTCATCGGAGCATATTCCATCGATTCCCACCCTGTAGTCATTCACACCGCACAATTCCTCCGACCCGAGAGAGGGTGAAACTGCAGCATGGCCGACATCTCCCGCATTCCCCGGCTGTCTGTTTATCTGCCCGTCGGGCTGTCTCCTCGCTTAGGGCGGGGGATTGAATCATCCGGCCAGGTCAGGTCTCTTTGTTCCTGTACTGTACGACAGCGTAGCCCTGTTTGCAGCAAGTGTATGGGGTACTGTACAGTACCTCGCTTCTGTGCTATGTGTGTATGTACAGTTTTCCACCAGTACATTCGCAGCATCGCATCACCGTCATCATTCATCCAACACCGCTCAAACGGGAGCTCAAACGACTAGCCCCCACGAGATGCTACAACCGACCCCCCCCCCCTTCCCTTACCTCCAGAGATTGGGTTAGATGGTACCTGACCATCTCGTCTCCAGGAAAGAGCTAACTGACTTTTCATCCTTCGATCTCGAGATGAGATCCTTCACCCAGCTAGACAGCTTCTGAACCGCCTAGTGCCAACACCCGGCCTGAAGCTATAGCTGTTGGCCACGGTAGTCTCCCAACCACCAAGCGGAAAATCCCGGCTGAATCCTTAGGCTGCCTGCTGCGCTCGACTCAGCTGTCTATATTTACACAACAAACATGAACCCGGGATGCCAGCCAACAATCCGTACCTGCGCACGTACGACCAACGGCCGTCTCAGCACCGGGGACTTCAAGGAAGTTGGCCTGGGCGCTGATGGAAACCGGAGCTGCTGTCCGAATCGAGTTCAGGTCCCCTCTGACTACATCCCGATAAACAGGGAATATCCATACAACAGAGAGACGGGATGCCGCAAACACTCCCATTGGATGCCATCAGCATTGTTCACCGTCACAGGGGGCAAGGCTACACAAGCATCGCGCTCATCAATTTCCGCTTCCCTTCGGGGGGAAACGGACACCTCTATCCATGATAGACAACGGCCCGGCCCATTCCATGACAGGCGAGATTAGAGGGTTGCAGCGACAGTTGGCCCCCGTGAGGATCTTGGTTGTGCGGTGGGATTGAGCTGACACCAACGTCGGGACTAGGTGGACTAGATGAGAGATTCTGCCCAACGCAGGAAGTGGCACAGTCGATGCGGAGGTACTTGTTGAATTTCACTAGCGGACTTCTATCGGCTTCTGTTGACTACAGGAAGTGTTTCTCTTCCACGTGGATTGGTATCCCAGCTAAGCAGGACTCCTTGAACGTGTAAGATGTCCAACAATCCAGCGCGCATACTCGAGGTCGCTTCTGTCGTTCCTGGTACATGCTTGGAACTCTTGGGAGAATACCTTCCCTTACGCACATCTACTTGGCTCTGTATAATCTCAACGGCAGGAATACCATGCTGACAGGATCTACTCGAAGATTGCATGTTCCGGTCTGTGGCCCAGAGCGGGTCTCATGACTTCGAGGCGCGCTTGAAAGTGTGTTCCAGCTTACTTAACAGCTCGGCTCGAAGAGGTTGGCTAAATAGCCCTCTGGTGAGCCCATATAGCTATATCTTGAGTAATGAGACGCCCATGTTGAACTACAGCGAGCTCCAGATTGCATACAGAATCACTCATCTCGAAGCTGGGTGCGGAGTAAGTGATGGTTATAACCCCCGTCTTCCAGGCCTAACGTTGTCCACCTTCACACGTAACAAATGCACTCCCCATATTCCATTGGCTGCACCAGCCGAAGATAGTTCGAGTTAAGCATTCCGGGGCAGGTTCTGAGGTGTGTGGTTGAGGTGGACGGCGAGACGGCCGGATACCAGCGTTAGGCGCCGCCGGTCCGTCTCGTCTCTGGGCGCGATCCGAAGCGCCGGGCCATCCCACCCTACCTCCAGTAGTGGCTCTTAGTGCATACCAGGTACCTGTTATAGTCACAGACCAGCAACAAAGTCCTTCATTCGCCGGAGTCCGGAAAGTAGTGCGCGCGGCTATTCCTACGTGATCAACAAGCCCGGTATGCTTTGGCGCTCCGTCTACGAACAGTTGACGAACGGCATCGTAGCCTTGGGATGTCAATTTCCATCGATGTATAGTACATACAATGGATATAAAATGCGGGTGTTTTCATGTGCTGTCACCGAGCATGAGCAGGTGTTTTGAACAATCATTGCAGCGGTCCGCTTGTCTTTTATATATCTCTTAGCAGCAATCACTCTTCCAGCCCTAACAGCATTCAAGTACGCCCCTAACAAGCCGTGATTATCGACGATGGTATGTGCATCCCGAAAGGATACCGCCCGACCGCGCTCTAACCGTCATGGGAACCCCCAACCGCAGTCCGGACTCGAAGTCGCCGTGTCCGTCCTCTCCCTGATCGAGGCCTCGATCAGCCTCATCGGCCAGCTGCACGACGCCTACAAGCGCCAGAAGGAGCACAGCAGCTTCCTCGCGGGGTACGCGGAGGAGCTCCGCCGCGCCAAGAGCATCATCCAGGTGGTCGCGGACGAGCCCGACCTCCAGACGGCCGAGATCTCCGCGCAGCTGGTGCGGACGGAGGCGCTGGTGCAGAAGCTGGTCGATCTGCTGCGGCGCCTGTCTTGCGAAGACAACAGCAAGAGCGCGGCGCGGCAGTTCTTCCACCAGCTCACGCAGGGCTCCAGGGACGAGAGGGCGCTGTCGGCGCTCGTCGACCAGATCGACCGGGCCAAGGCCGACATGACCGTCTTGATCCAGGTGGCCGGGGTCGGTCTGGTGCGGACGACGGACAACACCCTCGCCGCGAACACCGAGGTCATCCAGCGCGTGGACCGGCATATTCGGGAGGTGCTGGGGGATGGCCGGGGGTTGAAGATTGGGAGCTTGGTCCCTGGTGATGAGGCGGATGCTAGACGCGAGATCCCCCTGAGCCGGGAAGAGGTGGCCGCGGTGATGGGGCCACCGGGCCCCAGCAGCAGCAGCAGCAGCAGCAGCAGCAACATGGAGCGGATCATCGAGAACAACCTCACGCAGCAGCAAGCCCTGCAGATCAACGGCCCCGTGGGCGAAGACCGATGGAAATCGATCAGCCGCCTGGTGGTCCGGCAGAACAGAGCGACGGGCACGAGTACGCAGGTCAACTATCCGGTGTCCGCCTCGACCTTCTACGTCCTGCTGGTCAATCACCTGATCAAATACGTCCTGGTCTGCGTTTTGCTGTATATTCCGCTGGCTTATCTGTTTCAGAAGCATGACTAGGGGGGCTACACGACGTATGGAGTATCTAGGCGGAGACTTGGGTTGAGCGGTGCCTTGACTTACAATCTGTCATACTAGTCTGGGTACGCACTGCACTATATAGTATCTGTGTACTGTACAACCCGCATTCATCACGACACTTGCAGCTACTGTAGCTTACGATACCTGTACCGTATATCTTCCTGACCTTACCAACCCACCAAATTACTCCTTCTCAAACAACGTATCTTCAATTCCACAATTCCTACCCCACAAAAGAGTCGAACATGTGCATCCCCGCCGCGAATGACACCAGAATCTCCCGGACCAACCACGGCTCTGTCTCAGCCAGAGATATCCGACCTGTCGAAGACAGTAAGCACAGTCCATAACCTAGAACATAGAAATCTAACCACAATTAAGCCTCTCGACCGAATCCACAAAATAAGCATCACTCAGAAACCAATTCATAGTTAAACAATATAACGGGGAATGTTCAAAACACCGGAGATAGAAAGTAGAAGTAAATTGTTATCTATGTATATCAAGATCATCGCCATAAGCCATCAATGTCAATGTCAAACACGAAAAGAAAACCACTAAAGCCCGTAAATACATTTGAAAGCCCACAAGGTAAAAAAAATCCATGTCCATCAAACCCGTAGTATAATTACACACAAATGTCCCAAAGCAAGACGCCGACCGCATTATAACCTTCATCGTTTGTTGCCTTAACCCTGGCACATGATGCAGGCCTCCTTGTTCTCGATGCTGCACTGAAGCACCGCTTGGGAGTAGATATCATTCTCGCGCTCCTCGCTCGTCTTCTCGGAATCCTCCTCCTGAGGTCCCTCGGCCTCATCCTCGTTGCTACGGGAAGTGGCATCGGCAGCGAGAGCACGAGGGCTGTCAGCACCGTTGTTGACGTCCTCGCTGTGTCCATTGGTTTGGCTCTGACCGCGAGGCACGGCAGAGTAAGTGGAGGAGACAACACCAGTAGCACGCTTCTTGTAAGAGGGGTTGGCACGAGCGACGTTGGTGTCCTCAACCTTGAGCTGCTCCTGATCCACCGTGAACTGGATGGGGGCCGAAGCCGCCATAGTCCGCAGGTAGTACATACCGGTCTTAAGACCCATCTTCCAGCCAGCGAAGTGCATGCTGGTGATCTTGCCCATGGTGGGCTCCTTCAAGTGGATGTTGAGGGATTGGGATTGGTCAATGAAGGCACCACGGTCAGCAGCCATCTGCAAGATGTTGCGCTGCGAGATCTCCCAAACAGTCTTGTAGAGAGCCTTGATATCGGCGGGAATGTTGGGGATGTTCTGGACGGAGCCGCCGTCGGCGATGATGCGGTTCTTCATGTTGTCGGACCACAGACCGAGGTCTACCAAGTCCTTGAGCAACCAAGGGTTGACCACCTGGAACTCACCCGCCAGGACACGACGAGAGTAGATGTTCGAGGTGTAGGGCTCGAAGCACTCGTTGAAGCCCAGGATCTGACTGGTGCTAGCAGTAGGCATGGGGGCAACCAACAAACTGTTGCGGACACCGGTCTGCGCAATCTTGGCCTTGAGAGCGTCCCAGTCCCATAGATCGGTGGGGGTGCGGTCCCACATGTCGTACTGGAGGATACCCTGAGACACGGGAGAACCCTCGTAAGTCTCGTAGGGACCGTGCAGCTTAGCCAACTCAGAGGAGGCAGTCAGAGCACCGTGGTAGATGGTCTCAAAGATCTGAATGTTGAGCTGTCTAGCCTCGGCCGAGTCAAAGGGCAGACGCAAGGCGAGGAAAGCATCAGCCAGACCGTTGACACCAAGAGCGATGGGACGGTGGCGGAAGTTGCTCTTCTTGGCCTCAGGGACAGGGTAGTAGTTGATGTCAATGATCTTGTTCAAGTTACGGACCAAGACCTGCACGACTTCATGAAGCTTGCCGAAGTCGTATTCGCCGCGAGCGGCATCAACGAAAGTAGGGAGGGCAAGAGAAGCCAGGTTACAGACAGCAACCTCATCGGGAGCGCTGTATTCAATGATCTCAGTGCAAAGGTTGGAGCTGCGGATGGTTCCCAAGTTCTTCTGGTTGCTCTTCTTGTTGCAAGCATCCTTGTAAAGCATGAAGGGGTTGCCAGTCTCAGTCTGAGCTTCCAAGATAGCATACCAGAGCTTCTGCGCCTTGATGGTCTTGCGGCCGCGACCTTCCTTCTCGTACCTGTAATCCTGTTAGAACTGGCTAGCAAATAGGCTCAAAACAAGAAACTCACTTCTCATAAAGAGCATCGAACTCGTCGCCGTAGACATCGGCCAAACCAGGAGCCTCGTTGGGACAGAACAGAGTCCAGTCACCGTTGGACTCAACACGCTTCATGAACAGATCGGGGGTCCACAGGGCATAGAACAGGTCACGAGCTCTGACTTCCTCCTTACCATGGTTCTTACGGAGGTCCAGGAACTCGAAGACATCCGAGTGCCAGGGCTCCAGGTAGATGGCAAAAGCACCAGGACGCTTGTTACCTCCCTGATCAACGTATCTGGCAGTGTTGTTGAAGACCCGCAGCATGGGAACCAGACCATTAGAGGTACCGTTGGTTCCACCAATATAGGAGCCTGTGGCACGAATGCGGTGGACGTTCAGACCGATACCACCAGCGGTCTTGGAGATCATGGCACAGGTCTTAAGTGTGTCATAGATACCATCAATGCTATCCTCCTTCATATCGACGAGGAAGCATGAGGCAAGCTGAGGCTGGGGAGTACCAGCATTGAACAGAGTCGGGGAAGCGTGCGTGAAGAACTTCTGAGACATGAGATGGTAGGTCTCGATGGCCTTCTCGATGTCGTTGCCGTGAATACCGACGGACACACGCATCAACAGGTGCTGAGGGCGCTCTGCAACCTTTCCATTGATCCGCAGGAGGTATGACCGTTCAAGAGTCTTGAAGCCGAAGAAGTTGTAGTTGAAATCACGGTCATAAACAATAGCCGAGTTGAGCTCATCGGCGTGCTTCATGACCAATTCGTACGTCTCCTTGGAAATCATGGGGGCGGGAGTGTTGTTCTTGGGGTTGACATAGTGGTAGAGGTCAGAGATGACCAGCGAGAATTGCTTCTTGGTTTGCTTGTGAAGGTTGGAAACTGCTATACGAGCAGCGAGGATAGCGTAATCGGGATGTGTGACGGTCATGTACGCGGCAGTCTCGGCGGCCTGCAAGCAAGGTCAGAACTCGATTGTCAAGCACTGAGTGATCTTCACATACCAGGTTATCGAGTTCGACGGTGGTGACACCCTGGTAGACACCAGAGATGACCTTCTGAGTGATAGCAGCAGCGTCGACATGCTCAGGATCGAGCCCATAACAGAGCCTCGACACACGAGCGGTGATCTTGTCGAACTGCACGCGTTCTTTGCGTCCGTCTGTGGTTCAACGTGACGTTAGCAAAATCTGCAACACGGGTGGCAACGGACTCCAACAGGAACGTTTCGAAACGGATTTGAATGCAAAACAGTGCTCTATGACGCGATGGATTGACGGTGTAGGGCTTGATGCTCACCTCTCTTGTAGACAAACATTTTGAATGACAGGGAATGGCTGGGGAATGCGTGGAACCGAAGATTATGACAGGAAGGGTATAAGAAGGTAAGTGGAATTACAGAAAGAAAAGATCAGTGAATCGTATGTCAAGAGGCGTGAAGATGATAATTTTCGTAAAGCAAAAAGAGAAAAAAAGAAAACGGACCTGAAGACAGGAGCTTGTGGAGGATGAGAAGAAAGAGAAAGAGGGAGGGGCAGCGAGAGTGGTAGATATTTGACGTCGCCGGGGCAAACGCGTTGCTGGTGGAAATCAACGCGAATTTTCGTGTTTGAGCTAAATGGGCGGCCCTTGCATTGGCGCTAGCAAGCCTAGTACAGTAAAAGTTCTTTTTGCTCCGGCTGCCGGAGACGCGCGACGCCCTCAAGTCACGTGCTGTTGTTGGGTTTCACACGCCACGTTGACCTGGAAGAGCCGACTGGGTCTTACAAATCAGCTTCGCGTTTCAATAGTACCAAACGATCTAATCAATTTACATAGTACCCCACCAAAGCTAGACCGCCGCACTGCTTGGTAAGATGATGGGAGGCTAGCTTAGAAGATTTCTCCGTCGGCATCCATCGGGTTCCTTGGAATTCCCATTCAGGACACCGAGGTTGGTTTGCACCATCGAGTAACAAATACAAATCAAATCAAAATCCGGGTACATCCCAAGTCTACGGTAAAGTATGATACAAGGTCTTAGGCTCAAACATATAATAACAAGGTCGAGACCTAGAAACAATAAATCTGGAGTTGGCAGCAGCAGCTGAGAAAGACTACAGTGCCGCCGCGACTCCAAAGAAAACAACAGCTGCGAATGCTGCAGCAGGAACATGACGGTCTGACGAACCGGCTGAAATTATCCCGCTGGGATGAGCACTTGGTGATGGGCTAGGACTGGAGCTGGGAGTTGGGCTCGAACTGGGCCCTAATATAATGCTAGACGGGCCGGTTGGGGTCGCAATGCTAGAACTGGTTCTTGTGGGGTTGGCAACAGCCGTGGATGATGAGACACCAGAAATGGTAAATATGTCGTTCACTACTCTCAAGTCAGTGGATCCAGTATATGACTACGCGACAAGTTCTCAGCTAACATACCACCTTTGTATCCAGCTGATGCACATATGTCAGAGAACTGCTGCATAGCCACTTTGGTATCGTCACCGCAGAGGTTTGAGATTTTATTCTTGATTTGCTTGCCATTGGTGACACATATGGTCTGGAGGTCGTCCGGAATGGACTGAGAGCTACATTCGGATTGTTAGCAGGTACTCCACGGTGATCTCCCAGCAAAATCAACAAGTATCAGGGATACTACTCGTGCTGGGCACACTTACCCTACAGCAAACAGAAGACAATCACGGGTTGGAACAGCAGCGACAAGGCTACTGAAGGCCCAAACGAAGACGTAAACAGCGCAAAAAGCGGGCTTGAAGAGCAACATCTCGAGCGTGTTTCGAGTAACACTATTCAGCAGTCGATCAATACTTCAAGACGGAGGCCGGGTTTAGTAGGGGAGGAGACATGGATAGGAGGTGGTTTTCAGGGACAAAATTTAAAACAGGAAAAAAAAGGTGTGTTAGGATCTGAAGGAGCGACTGATAGTGATGCTGAGGTGTCTGGTGATGAGACCCGAAGACATCGAGAATGAGGAATTCAGAGGTCAAGAATTCCCCAAGTTCAACAGGGAATAACGACCCCCCCATTCCTGGTTACAGAATTGACCCCGTCGATCGGCCACAAGACTGGGGTCATACATTACTAGGACTGAAGCGGTTAGCTGCCGCAAGGGCTCAGTCCAGCAGTGGAACCACTAGGACAAGTAAGGCTAACCACCAGGAACCCATTGCCGGCTCAGCTTCAATCAAGAATCATGATTGCCACTTAACCTAGTATTAAGCACTGGCGAACGTTGCTCGGTTCCTGAATAACCGCAAAGGTGAATATATCCTTAAGCTGCGGATTGTGGGCTCGTAACAATTGTGGGTACGTTGAACCACGGTATCCCTTCATTGCTCTAACTAGTATGGGCATATTGTGTATAACGTTGAGTGTAACTAGCTAGGAACGAAGATAATCCTTAGAATTACATATGACTTCTGAGACAAGAATTCGTTCTCTTCATGTCAGACTTCTTTGGGCACCAAGATCAACATTCTCTTTTTTCAAGCTGACACCCGTAGGCAAATATCTGTGAAACCTCGGTATAGACATATCGAGCAATGAACTTTTTCTGAATGGAAGTCCTACAGAACTTGTCTAGCGCTGTGTAGCGGCTTTTGATCAGTCTGAATTACATACATAGAATCGGGCAGGTTAGGCACTCTGCTGTCTTGGTAATGATAGCGCAAGCTTTCCTCGTCACTTCGTGCGGACAGGATGAGTCGACTCAGAGTAAGTAGCTACAGTCTATGGCATTATTATAGAGCTTAGTATCTTGAGCGGATTATATCCTCCGTGTATTCAGGGCCTATATGGCCAGATTCATCCCCTCTTTGTGCTGCCGTTCACCGACCACTCTTGGGTTAGGCTACTTTTTTGAGGAGCCTCTGTCCAACAGGTACTTGAATACAATATTCAAGAGCCCAAAGTCAACAATAAATGACGCAAAGTTGATTGTGGAAACATCTGGCGAAAGTGACGTAGTCGCCACAGACATATCTTACAAACAACTCCAACTGCCTCCTACTGAGTCATAACTAATATGGAGAAAGACCGTCCACACGTGCCTACAGCAAGTCCCAGAGCAACGTTGATTCTATTTGTACTACGTTTTCGAGCTATATGGGCTAATCAAACTATCACATGTCTTGTACCCTCGATTTAAATCAATCTGAGCTATGAAGTTATCCTTTAGATAAGCCGGGCACAGTGTTGTTGCGGTATTGTCGGTTAGGATCAAGCGCAGCCCTTGGACGAACCTCTTCTGGTGGGCACAGTTCACTTTCCTGTCTCGTAGGTGCTACCGCCAACCATCCCGAATCGGGCTGATATACAAGCATGGAGCAAGTTCTAGATCACACTCTAATCAATAACATCAGTGGATACATTCGTAGCTAGTCTATCGGAAAAGACAGCGGGAGATCAACACCCCGCGATTGCGCAAACATCTGAGAAAAAGCAAAGTATGTATATGAAGCTTTAGCTTTCATCTCGTGATGCGAATCACCGTATGAGATTAGGACAGTCCATAAGCCTCTAATCAGTCTGGTGATCATGGTTCTATGCCCCTCAAAACCCCTTGCGCTACCTCTCCCACGCAGGGTCAAATTCACTATTAATGATTTCCTGCAGGTCCATCCTGCAATCCACGATCTCTTTCCCATTAATCAGGTCGTTCTCCGTCACTCGTTTATCTGCATCGGCTTCATCCCTCGCGATGCCCGCCTTGACGTGCCTCCGAATTAACCTTCTCCGAGCGACCTCAAAGTCGACCTCCACAAACCAAAGCTCATCCATCAATTCTGCCGCCGTCCTCCACGGCTCCTTGTTGAGACTGAGGTAGTTGCCCTCGAAGAAGATGACCCGGCAGGTGGCCGGGATGGTGATGTCGTCATCCACGGGATCCTTGACCGCGTGGTCAAAACTCGGAGCGTACAGACTTCGTGTCCGCGGTGTCACCTCTTCCCGCAACGCCCGCACGAGCTTGAGGAACTTTTCCCCGTCGAAGGTGAACGCGGCGCCGCGGCGGGCAGCCGCGTACGCGGGATCAGGCATGGCGGCGAGCTGCGCCCGTGTGAGGTGGTAGCCGTCCATCGGGACGGTGGTTGCGATAAGCGGTGAGTCTGGATGTTGCGCGGCGTATCGTTGGTTGATGCGGTTGGCCATCATCGTCGCCAGCTCGGTCTTTCCGGACCCGGGAATCCCACTGACGGCAATCAGGAGGCGGGCATCGTCCGGTGTGGACTGGAATTTGTCTGTGGCTCGAGGCATTAGCTACCAAGGAGGACGAGGACTTTTGGGGCCCGTCGGACACAAAAGACACCGCTTGTTCGTCCGACTTGCGGGGTTAACACTCACTCCAGATCTTGTCGACTAATCGATCGACTTGTTGTTCCATGATGGAATAGACTCTGTGGACACTAACACAAACACGCGAGAATCTGACCAGATTGGATTATTGGGACAATGCACCGATAACCGTGGTCCCGTCCATGCAAAGGTTGGAACTGTTTGTTTGCGCCGAGAATTGTGTGGTCGCAGATTGAGATTGTCTTAAGTTGTGTACTGTAGAGGTCCCAAGTGCGATGGAAGGGACTTGAAATGACTGTATTGGAGATTCTGGTAGCTGTACAATATAATGCGCGAGCGAGCTGGACGATGAAGGTCTGCATGGGCAGTGGAAGCTCGGCGATTCATTGAGATAAATAAGTCTGCGGGGCTTGTCGTCAGAGTGGGGGCTCGCTATCGCTTTCACTCCGGAGTAATGATACGTCACGTCACAGGGGAACAACAACCGCGTCTCTTTACCGTGAAGGAAACTCGCTATCATACTACACCTGAGAATAGGTTCTGTCGCAGGTTTATTTCAATCATTCTAAGCTACTCAAAGAGAGGGAGAATTGATCTCTAGGATGCTTGCCTGAAACTTCAGGGCGGCGTACCGATTTTATAAGCAGGCGAATTGTTGAAGATTATGGCTCTGAAATTCTTTTTGGGACATACATCGACTTTTAGCGATTGAGGGTACATCAATAGAAGGCATCTGAGTTATCAGTACAGAGAAAACAAAACAAGTATGTATGGAGAAGATTATTTCCGTATCAGGTGGTGCCCGCCGCCCTTGATGGAAAAAAGTATCAGAACACACCGCTAACGCCCAGCAATACATCATCCTCGCTAAAGAGAAACTCAACCATAGAATTCTGCGCGTTGCCCGGTATCTTGAGTGAAGCATAACGAGTATTGTCTATCACAGTTCCACAACCAAAATAAAAACAGAAGGGGAAAATTACGAATGAAAGGGGCTGCTGTTTAGCTACGACGAAGCGGTCCGTCGATTGTGTTGCCGTCGATTGGCTCGTTGTTTCCCTCGTCGTTCTCACGCTGACCGAGAGTGCGAGACAATCCAACGGACGCCCAAAAGTCGTCAGGAAGGTCCTGCCGGTTTGTGAGACGGTCCAGCACGGCCCGAACCTGATGCAGGTCTTGATCGCTAGAAGAATCGGAAAAGGCAAACGACACAGTGGGTATCGGAGGTTGGCTACTCATAGTTGACTGAACTTCGGGTGCCCGTCTTGCGGTTCCCTGGGAGCGTATCATGGCCCCTTGAAAATCCACAGCTCGCCTCAAAGACTCCAATTGACGAACAGCACGGTAACGCCGAAACAGGGAATTCGAAGTCTCAGATTCTGAGTCGCTTTCGGACTCGGTAGCACTCGGTGGGAAGTCACATGGATTCAAGTATTCTGGATATGGATCAAGGACTATTTCCATTGCTCCAGGACCCGAGTACGTTGAATTTGAAACGGGCCGCATGCCGGCGGCGGCGCTTCTCATTGCTCCGTTCACAGGAACGTTCGTTCCGGGCGCGGACGCTGAATTGAATGATGAATCAGCACTGGGGAGATTTGTGTCAGGCGTGATCGTTGTCAAAAGTGTTTCCCATGCATCATTGGCGTGGTCATCATCAGGGCTGAGGCTCCTTTGGCGATCGCCCAGACCATCTATGAGTGATTCCTGATTTGGACGACTGGCATCATTGATGGACCGCTGACCAACACGCCGCAAAGAGGGGAAAGTAAGTGTCGCAGACGGATCTGGGCCCAAGCCATCAGGCAGGGGGAAGGGTGACAGGTGGAGAGCATCTTGTCGCGCATGTGGGGAAGCGCTCCCGTGATATGCGACTGCAGGGGCAAAGCGAGGCGTAAATTGAGGGTGATCTTGATCCTGCCTATTGTTTGCATCTAGACCGGGAGAAGCGGGGCGCTGAAAGTCGGACATGATCGGATTGCGCGGTATCCTCAGGCGTTGTTGTTGTTGTTGTTGTTGTTGTTGTTGGCCCGAGCGACCTTGCTGAAGAGCATTATCGAGTCGCCGTTGTTCAATGCGGCGTGCGTTCCGAGCTCGCAGAGGGTCCAGAAACCCAGCGGTGAGATTGAACGGATCTTCGGCGGCAGCAGCATTCGAAAGAGGCGAGCGAACATGACGCTGTATACCATTCGCTTCGCGCTCGCGCTCGCGTTCGACCAGGTCTGCCAACGTCAGCGCCCGAATAGGCGAGCGACCATGGCGCTGTAGGCTATTCGAGTCGCGCTCACGTTCCCGCTCGCGGCGCTCAATCTCCTCTGCCAGGGTTTGTGGGGAAATCGTGCGTAAAGTGGCATTGCGCAGGACAGAGCCATAACGCGAAGGGCGGCGAACGCTGGCCTGACGACGAATCGCAGAGCGTGCGGCAGCGCAGCTATCTTTGGCAGCGTGGTTCCTCGTGTCTTCTGTCGGGGAAGACTCCCGGAACATCCTATATCATTACCAGTCAGTCAAGACAATTGTCCCGGCCGCTTTAGCCTAATGGAGCAGGGCGCGTAAAGTATTGACGGCCAACTGGGAAGATAGATACTCACGGAATACCCATGGTTACAGTAAATGCGAAGAAGGAG